GGGCGGAACCCGTTCAGAGGTCTGCGCGGAGTCCGCCGGTCGGTCCGGGCAGAGTCCGCCGGTCGGTCCGGGCAGATGTCATCCCTTGCCACAGACAGCTCTCAGTTGTGTCGGTCGATGCCTCGGTTTCCTGTCTTCGATATGACGGGACCTCTTGTGTGTCCCTGAACGTCTATTCACGGACACACAAGGAAAACACCACAGGAAGAGAGATGTTCACAAAGACAGACGATATCGGAGAAGAATGCGAGCTCATTGCAAAGAAGGCAGGGACACATGTCCCAGGCATTGGGAAACATCCGGTTACAATCCGTGGTGCAATGTCTCCCGTTTCCGTCACTCGTGAACACATCATTCCTGTCTGCGGTTTGCAAAATTCCGTTCCTCTCCGAACACAACCTACTCAAGTCCTCTACCTCGGGTCATTTCCCATTCGCCTCTGCAGTGGGACATCCCAATTCTCCACGTAAAGGCGTTCTAGTGAAGCACCTCCGACCACTGCGCTGGCGCGTGTTCCGCTCTTGTCTGGGCCACGAGGAGGCGGGTGGCGACCGGTAGGTGGCAAAAGTGGGCAGCCTGCCGCTGCTGTCGTGAACGTCAGCAATTAGTCATTAGTCATTCACCAAAGTGGGCGGTCGTCACTGGCGGTATGTTCCCGCTCCTGCCCGGCTCCAGCAGCGGAACTATGAGCACCTCGCTCTTCTCTCTGAAGTGTTCAAATGGCACCAACAAGGCCTCTGCCTCTGCCGCCGCTGGTGCGAGTCGCCACAGTGTACCACAGGTCGGGTCCTCTGCCGCACCGCGCGGTGAGCCCATGGCAGGCAGCTGCGTCATCGCGACAGGTGTGCTACTTGAGAGCCACTCGTCCGTCTCCCTGAGCATCTGAGACGCTCCACAACGAGCGAGGCGACGCACAAACACCCGGACGGCACGCTCGTTCCCGCAACACTCAGAAAACATATCCAAAGAGGGCCCGTTTGTCACATCGGCTGAATAGAGGGTGCCGCGACCATTGGTTGACAGCACAGAGTGTGGTACTGCAGGGTACGGTAAAGGAGTAATGCGTTCGAGCTGAGCCTAAAACATTCGACACTCATGTGCGGAGTTTGGTTCTGCTGCACATGCCCCCTGCAACGCGTGCCTGGCCTCCATTATAGTCCGTTGAGGTGAGGCTTTGACTCATTATAATGCACTTCCGCTGTTGGTAGTGTCATGGTGGTTGGAAATTCACTGGACTCCCCGCCAGTACGTACAGTGTCAACACTGGTCTGTCCACCGTGGGGGGACGGAGGGAGGTGTTAAGGAAGGCTGTGGTATGATGGTTAAAGGGGTTGGACTCGCTCAAGAGTTATGCAACTCCAGTACCTCTCAAACGAGTTGTACATCACAATCCAAAAGGCAGCTTTAATGCCCCAAGAGACGAAGAACATCTACTATTGTCACTTCTGCACGTTTTGCCCGCGCACAATGCCTGAAGACAGACTGCAAGCATGTTGACGTACAACACTGGCACGCGACAACACGGTCATACACTTTTCAACACTTTTCACACGGTCGGTCATTTCTGCAAAACCTATAACGTAAAATACGAGCGCTCAGCGAAACGACACTGTTTGAATTACGATAGTACGCAGAACCTTTCAAATATGCGGCTCAGAACTGATACATCTAGTACATTCAATTCCTTGAATGCTCTCAAAAAGAACTAAAAAGAATGCTCTCAAAACGCACTCAGAGAAAATGCTCCACATTTGAATATATCGAAGTCAACATCGGATTCGATGAAATATAAGCTCGCTTATATCTATCGGCACACTTTTGAAGAGAACGTTCTTTTTCTATTTGTCGGTGGCGTCTACTGCCGCGGTCAGTTTGCGCCCACTCAAGTGCCATACATCTCTCACGTGTTCGGTGCGTACGGGTGTTGCCTGCGGGGTGCGATGCTTCACCAATGAGTTAGGCACTAAGAGCTCGCGTCGTACACTGATTAAACGGGTGAGAAAATAATTTGAAGTCGATATGTTTCATGACATTTAAAAAGAACCCTTGGCGTCATAGGTCGGATTTTTGCCAGTCAGGGAGCACAGATGCGGTCCCCGCAAAGGATAGGGGCCAGAGAAGCGTCTGCGCTCAGTTTCCATAAGGCGACACTGAACGAGCACGTGGGCAACCGACAGTTCGCGATCGCAGCGAGGACACGTGGGTGGATGACCTCCAGACAGAAGATAACTGTGGGTTCCGTATGTATGGCCTCTGCGGAGGCGACAGATGCTGACCTCCCTGTTCCTGCTGTTCCGGTGGGAAGATACCCAGTCACCCACTGTATCTGTTACTGACCTGAGTTTAATTCCTTCATATCCATACTTTTCATTTTCATTCCATGTTTTTGAATTTTCAGTTTCATTCCACTGTTAGAGGGAATGTTCCATTTTTGAAGATATTGAAGCAAACATGAAATATGATGGGACAAGCCCACGTACAGCTATCGAAATATATTTATATGAAAAAGGCTGCTCTAGACAATATAATTTCTCAACTGCGTAAATATGCTCCTCCATACGTAATTGTTTGATTGCGTCATCGTACCTTGCACACCATTGATTGGGAGCCAGCTGATGGTCTTGGTATCTGGAAATCATGCTCACGGACGCCGAACATAACGGACTCTGCTAAAATATTTTTCTTGGGCTTCATCGCCGTATGGCCAATGGAATGACGGTATTAGAGCGACGTCACTGTCGCGTCATGGATGCCTTGGTGGCTTTGAAATAGCCACACTGAAATGGTCTTCACACCTTCGCGGGCGTGTAGCTCAGACACTAGAGGGTTTTGGTCTAAAAAAGGGCAGGGCTGTAAGCTGCACCGAATAATCTTCAAGAACTGACTTTTGCAACTCAAAATCCCAGACAAATGTGGAGCACACCCTTTCAGTGGAACAGACTGATCTAGACAACGCAATTTCGTTCCTTAGTAAATATGCTCTTCATTACGTCATTGCTTGATTGCGTCATGAAACGTTTGTATGACGCTGAGGTGCTGCAGAACGAGCCGTGCGAAATTGCCACTCTAGCGCTCACCTGTAGTACACGACTCACCGAGAGATGGCAGTGGCGGTACCGGAAACGTTCACTGGACCAAATATCATTATGCGCTTATTTTGACCCTTTCTCGTGGTGTTCTTGCACATTCATCCGTGATTTTTATATGTTTACTCACATTCACATACTCGGTTATGGCGCTTTTAGGAAGCTATTCGATCACAAACCGTGTTCCCGTGCCAACTACCAGCCATATCCAACTTCTGATATCATGTAGCACAAGACGTAACGCGGCTGGATCGGGTACAGCATAGTCCTTGTTGAGTGCAAGCCAACTGACGTCATCTCTGTTTGGAAATCGCACTCGCGGAGGCCAAGTCTGAACAGTCGGACGACAATGTTCTTCTTAGCTTTGGGCTCTGCGAGACCAATAGCGTGGCAGGATTCAAATGACGCTTATATGAGGTCATGTATGCATGAATGGCCCCAGAACGGTCTGCCCAAAGTCAGCACGTCTTCGCGGGCGTGTAGCTCAGAAGCCACAGGGCTTTAGGTCTTCAGAAAGGCAAGGCAGTGAACTGCAACGCATGATCTTCAAAATGGCCATTTCACTTCCAAACCCCATACAAATGTGGAACACTCTCTTTAAGTCCCGCCATCGGCTTTATCTCGCGCCGGCTTTTTTTGCTTGTGTCCACACCCCCTCGTTCAATATTCACACATTGTAAAGCTTCATATACTGCGACCGAAGCAGAACCGTCTCCTATGTGAAGACTCCCAGTCCATGGACTTCAGCGTGATTGTCACAACCACGACACCTGCCAACGACGGCAGGATTACACGGGAGCCCGCGGCCACGCAGCTCACTACAGCACCAGCTTCCACGCATTCAAAAGAAACCGCTGCGCGAGGGGAGAGCAGCTGGGTTTCAGAACGTTGAACAAGTCCCTGGCCGATGCACCACCGAAACAATACAGCGGCCTCGCGGCGAGAGCGCCGCACCGGACGCACACATCAAATGGCAACGCGACCAGCAGCCGCATACCGGGCCCGAGACCCCTCGTCTTCAGTCGCCCCGCAGTGCACCTGATGTTTCTGTCGAACATCTACCCCAAACTGGAAGGCCTCGTAAAGAAAGCATGCCATCTTTTCAGTCGCTGCCTTCTACGGTGAATTCCGAACTTGCCCCGGGAACTTGAGCTGCTGTAAGCCGGAGGGCTGCACGTCCCTCAGCTGCTTATCTGAGCTGCTGTAAGCCGGAATGTTTCAAGTCCCTCAGCTGCTTGTCTGAGCTGCTGTAAGCCGGAAGGTTTCACGCCCCTCAACTCCTTATCTTCCCCCGATCGCCCGGCGCCCCAGCCAGCATTAAAGCCGGCATCATCTGGCAACGCTGTGCGCGCCGGACCGAGCCGAGTCGCCGCCCACGAGCGTCACGTGGCCAGCACTCTCCTGCCGCCGCCGGGTTACGTAACCAAGCCTTGCGTAGCTCCCTCGAGCACCACTGACGATCCTTTGTGTAAAATGCTTGGTCTCCCAAACCGGCAATCAGCGAAATCAATGTCCCCTACCCCTTCCAACCAGCGACCCCCCCCCCCCCTCCCGTGGTGGTAAATCCCGGCAACACCCCTACCGTTGGGTCGTGCGCCTACCCGCTATGCTACTACCACGTCTGGTGACCCCTGGCGACCCGCCGACCACTTAAGACCGCACAGATCACAAGTCAGGCTAAGTTAAGTCCAGTCACATCAAGCCGTCAAGTTACGCCAAGTCATGACGCTACCTGATCACGCATAGCCCGTCAGGCCTGTGAGCGCCGCCGGCGTTCCCCTGTCGCCGCGGAATCACGCCACCCCCATGCCCTGACGCCGGCGGGCTATGCGATCCCTCTCGCCTCTCCCCGACAGGTCACGTGACCAGCTCCGCTGCACTCACGTGACCACGTGACCGCCGCTCCGTCCTCACCTTGCCACAGGCCGTGACGACCACCAGCATCTTGTGCAGGTTGAACTTGTCGCGCGTCAGATGTGTGACGTCAGAGCCCTGGATCACCTCGCCCGACACCACGGACGCCGCCAGCGACGCCAGCTGACTCCACTGTGACGTCATACGGCGCACGAACGCCGACACGGGACCGGCTGCCGACGTGAGGCCAGGGTGTTAGAAGTTCAGTGTCTTCGGTGGAAAATAATGCACTTTAGGGACGATTTCGGACTACGATCTCGAACTCGATTTAGGGTTGTGGACTCTTTTCGTAGGTTTGGTCTCATCTTCACAAAAATGTATGCACGCCTTTCTTTTAAGCTGGATGCGGTCTCTCGGGCTTTGGCAAGGACATTTCGGCCTCCACGGCCGCCTTTGCTCGCACGATTCTGTCACGCTGTGCAACGTAGCACGGGTCGGTAGCGGACGTGGCGCTTTGCGATGAGCGCTCAAACTTCGCCTACTGTGATAGGTTTGCTACGGGACCAAGAGCACACCGGTGCCGGCAGACGGGAGCGGGCGCCTATCCCACGCAGCAACACATAACTCGCCGCGCTCTGATGCCCGCCTTTGCCACCGGCTCCACCGAGCCCACCATGGCGGCGCCTGAGTGGGCAGTGACGACGCCCACCGAGCCTCCTAGCCACAGCGTCCCAGGGCGACACAGCGCGGCGGGACGGACCAGCCACCGCCGCCGCCGGCCCACGGCCGCGGGCCTGCCGCGTGACGTCACCGCACCAAGCCGGCTCTCCGGCCAACGACCAGGGTGTCGGTCATCATCACGGTGGATCACAGCCAGTCATCATCACCGTGGATGATAACCAGTCATCATCACGGTGGATCATCACCAGTCATCATCACGGTGCTGAGACCACGCACGCCAGCCGTCTGTGACGTCACCGACCCAGACAGTGACGTCACCACAGCGCGGAACACCCCCATGCCACATCCACTCGGCCGGCAGAGCGGTGGTGGGGGCCGTCTCATGCGGGTGCGCTATCTCGTGCCTCGGGCATCGTCATCACCACTGTCACAGCCGCATCTCGCAGGTTCGATGCTGCATTTCGGCGCGCGGCGACGCGAGAAGTGCAGTTTTGTAAACTAAGTAAAGTGGGGAGGGGCTAAGTGGGGAAGAATGGCTAAACATGCCCTCAAAATACACGAAAAACACGGCCTTTTACCCCGATTTGATCTAATTTCTTTTTTAGCCGCAAGGAGTGGAAAGAAGCCTTCGCTCTTGGCGACGGGCCAAGAATTCCGACAAAATTCGAAACCTTTTAGTCCCTGGAGACGCAGTGATTCGTTACCACGGGGACTTCGATCAAACGTGGGGCCAGTGAGGCAGAGTCGGACATAAGCCCAGCAATTTCTCAAACCTCGCACCTAGTGACTGGCTCACGTCGGTCCACCATCCGGGAGCCTCACCGGCAGGGTCGCCGAACTGCTCCTCGATGCTGACGTCGCCGGCCGACATGGGCAGGTCCACCACCTCTACGGCCACGACAGAGGCCAGCGCCTCCTCCCGCGTCCACAGCACGTCACCTGGCCACCGCCGCGAGGGGGGAGGGGGTCAACGCACGGGACACGAGGCCGGCGTTTCCTCCCGCGTGAACAACACGTCACCTGGCCACCACCGCGAGGGGGGGGGGGGGTCAGCGCACGGGACATGGGGCTGACTGTTCTGAGCAGAGAACGGTAACAAGGTCGACGCACGGGTCACGGGCAACAGCAGGGGACGGTAAATGCGAGCTTACCACAACGCCCACTCATATCGGGTTTATCATACGATAGCGGAGCGTTCAAAATACCGGTCGTGGGTCGGGTGCTTTTCAATGCTGTAGCGGGGACTGTGCAAGAGACCATCTGTTCACGGCACGAAACAATCGCCGTCAATGCGCCTGACGAACACGCCCACCATAGACCCGTGCCGACGTTCCCAGACAACTCACAGTCACGCGAATAACGACCGTGATGACGACAGAAGTGACAACGACGGCGATGATGCTGGTGACAATGATGGACAAGATTGAGCTGCTAATAACCGCTTGTAACCTGAGCCCAAACGCAACAGAGGAAAATCCTGAGCGGCGTTCGCAAAGTCGCGCCAGTTTATCTACCACCGCACCGCAAATTGAGACATGCAAAGCCAAAGCAAAACGCCCTCACCGCCTCCACCGAGCACGAGACATCACTCGCATCTTCCCCTTCCCCACCTCCGACAGTTGTCATGGTGACGGCATCGTCGTCGCCGACGAGCAGGGCGCGCGCCGCCAGCTGGCCGCCGTCGCGGCGCGGCGCCACCGTCACGTGGCAGGCGGAGACGGTGCCGTGGCGCGCAGTCAGTGACACGGCGCCCGCCGGTGCTGCCACCTGTCCGCCGCCCGGCGCACTGACCGAGAACTCCACCGCCTGCCGGGCCAGCCGGATTAGACGCGGAAGCATGTCGTTGCCTGCTGTTTTACGAGCGCGGCGGTTGTTGAGGTCGTCTCGATTAACATGGAGGGAGGAGAATGGTACAAAACACCTCAGCAAACAGCCGGCAGGATATGGAAGCTGTGATCAAGAATATAATTATATATAGACAAAGATACAAAGATTATTCATATTAGACAAGGATACATAGTAGCGGGACATTTCAGTCGTGCCTCCGCTACACCATCGGGCAAGCAGGAGGGTACCCTGTGGAAAAATTACGAATGCAGGGTGTGTATGCGTGCGCAATGGGAACCAGGCTCAAGATCGACCAAACACCTTACTGGCGCTAGAGCAACACGGGCTGATGCTAGAGCAACCCCGGGCTGACGCTAGAGCAACACCGGGCTGACGCTAGAGCAACGCAGGGCTGACGCTAGAGCAACCCCGGGCTGACGCTAGAGCAACACCGGGCTGACGCTAGAGCAACACCGGGCTGACGCTAGAGCAACGCCGGGCTGACGCTAGAGCAACACCGTGCTGGCGCTAGAGCAACACCGGGCTGACGCTAGGGCAGCCCCGGCTGACGCCAGAGCGACACCGGGCTGGCGCTAGAGCAACGCCGGGCTGACGCTAGAGCAACACCGGGCTGACGCTAGAGCAGCCCCGAGCTGACGCCAGAGCGACACCGGGCTGGCGCTAGAGCAACGCCGGGCTGACGCTAGAGCAGCCCCGGCTGACGCCAGAGCGACACCGGGCTGGCGCTAGAGCAACGCCGGGCTGACGCTAGAGCAACACCGGGCTGACGCTAGACAGCCCCGAGCTGACGCCAGAGCGACACCGGGCTGGCGCTTAGAGCAACGCCGGGCTGACGCTAGAGCAGCCCCGGGCTGACGCCAGAGCGACACCGGGCTGGGCTGCGCAAACGCCGGGCTGACGCTAGAAGCCCCGGGCTGACGCCAGAGCGACACCGGGCTGGCGCTAGAGCAACGCCGGGCTGACGCTAGAGCAACACCGGGCTGACGCTAGAGCAGCCCCGAGTGACGCTAGAGCAACACGGTGCTGGCGCTAAAGCAACACGGGCTGACGCTAAAGCAATACTGGGCTGGCGTCAGAGCAACACCGGGCTGACGCTAGAGCAACGCCGGACTGACGCTAGAGCAACACCGTGCTGGCGCTAGAGCAACACGGGCTGGCGCTAGAGCAACCCGGGCTGACGCTAGAGCAACACCGGGCTGACGCTAGAGCAACGCCGGGCTGACGCTAGAGCAACACCGGGCTGACGCTAGAGCAACGCCGGGCTGACGCCAGAGCAACCGGGCTGGCGCTAGAGCAACGCCGGGCTGGCGCTAGGGCAACACCGGGCTGGCGCTAGAGCAACGCCGGACTGACGCTAAAGAAACACCGGGCTGACGCTCTAGAGCAACACGGGCTGACGCTAGAGCAACGCCGGGCTGCGCTAGAGCAACACCGGGCTGACGCAGAGCACACCGGGCTGACGCTAGAGCAACACCGGGCTGACGCTAGAGCAACACCGGGCTGACGCTAGAGCAACGCCGGGCTGACGCAGAGCAGCACCGGGCTGACGCTAAGCAACGCCGTGCTGACGCTAGAGCAACACCGGGCTGACGCTAGAGCAACACCGGGCTGCGCTAGAGCAGGTCAGTTAGCCCGATGGTAACGGGCGGATTGTGCGCGGCTCAGGTTGGACCAGAGGCCGGAGGAGTGGCGCTAACCTAGAACGCGGAGTGAAGGAAAGAGCATGTGAATGATACAACAGCTCACATCGAAAGAAAATTCGTATGAAGTGTAACAGCATGAATTTGTCAACAGTGCACTCTAAAAAACCATAATGCTCACCGGTACTTTTCCAGTCTTCGAGTACTTCCCGACATACAGAACTTGCTCGCCGCCAGCTTGCGCAAGGCACGCCATATCTCCCGCCATCTCCTGGACGACCTCGAAACTACGAGTCACTCGGACCACCGTTAGGCGACCGGAGGCGGCGATGGCGAACAGATCGTTGCCCAGGTGTCGCACACGCGGCTCCTGGCTAGCAGAGAGCGCCGGCGGGAGGGGCTGCTTGGAGAACCGACCGGACGCCGCGGTGAATACGTGTAGCGCCCTGGCGGCGGCGTCCCAGCAGAGCAGCGCCTCGGCGCCCGACACGCACCTGGAAACGGCCCGTGCCACTGATGAGCGCACAGATTCCCTGCAGGTTATCAAATCCCCTCATCCTCAACAATCGTCTAGTTTGGTGGGTTTATTCCTTTCCATCTCCGAGGCAAAAGCTAAATTCCGATTGATTGGCTGAATTTCTGACCACTGACCGCCACTGTGTCGAATGGTTCCCAAACACACGCCGGCCCCGAACGCCATCAGCTCCACCACAAAACACGCCCACCGCCCCGTCCTTCGCCACGAACCCCGCCCAATGTGGGACGAGCCGGGGCGGCGCGGCCGGCGGCCTCACCTGGCGGCGCCGGCCCATGGCGTGCTGAGCGGAGCCGTGGTGACCTGGCCCGAGCCGCGGGCGATGCGGTGCAGGGCGGCGCTGGGCCCCAGCTGCAGCGCCAGCAACTGGTCCCGGCCCGATGTCAGCACGTGCAGACCCGCCGCGCTGTTGACGAGGAGCCGGCTGGTGAACGGCACAGTGGGGCAGGGCCAGCAAAAACACACACATTGTGGCGACAAGCGAGCGAGCAGGACGACTAAAACCCGCGGAACACTGGCAATATGCGTTTGAAAAATGCACGCCAGGCCAATTATTGAACTTTGAGGCTACTATTTTACTATTATACTATTATACTATTTTGAACTATTTTCTATAAGACTGCTACATAGTTTGGGGAAGCATCACAATTTCAGATACAGCAATATTAATATCGTTTATGAGATAATATTAACAAGACATTTATATGATAAGTAATACAAGATATATATGGATATATATATATATATATATATATATATATATATGTGTGTATAGCTAATTATTATGATGTTCTGACATTCAAAAAAGAAGGAAAAACATACCACAAAGATTGCTACACAAGCTACATGCATACATATATAAAATACTAAAAAAAAGGCCAATGAGCAACCAAACCATTTGCTCTGACAACCCTGCATTCCATGATGGGGGAAGACCCAGTGGACCGCTGGCGACACCATGCGGATCTCCCGCGGACGCAGCTCCCACTGCGTGTTGCAGACAGCCCACGAGCCCCACAACAATCCATCCACACCGCTGCACGACCAGCATGGCACCTGCACCTCCGCAGGCGGCCCTTCCACGGCCGCCATCCGTCACTGCTCGACCTCGACCTTAATCACGGCTGGCCGCGAGCACCAACCAAACCCCGACACTTGATCCGCCCACACGCGCTGGGCGCTCGGACCAGCAGCGAGCCGGCTCGACCCCGCGAGGTAGCCCTCAGAGGGGGGCACCACGTGACCTTTGGTCCCGGGCTACGCACCCGCTGGCTGGGGCGATGTCGAGCGCTGCCTCAGAGATGAGTAGGCCGGTGGCGGCGCACCAAACGCGCAGCAGGTTGTGGCCCGAGTAGGTCACAAGGTCGCCATTAGATGGCAGCGGCAGGTGGATGTGGCCGCTCTCGCCCCGCTCTAGCACGCGCCGCCAGATCAGCTGACCTACCGAGGTGGAAGTGAGAGGTCACACACTGGCAAACAAAGGCCAGCAGAGTAGATAGGTAGCTCCCCAGTATTTTCTGAAGCATGCAGGTGCAAAGAAAAGGGTGATGGATGTGAACAGCTCCACATGCATGGATGTCAGTAAATCGACCATCCATGTATTGACAGATATCCCTGCAAGCATTTCAACCAGCTAAACAGATTAAGCAATAGACTGCTATAGAGGTGCACAAAGGCATCTTGCATGCTGAAAAAGCAGCTTCTGTCAGGCCCTAATCCTGCCCTGCCACAGCCTATGGGCCCACCTGACTTGTGGTTGAGTGCAGCCAGTACATTGTCCTCTGTGGCCATCACAAGGCGCTTGTAGCCACCAGCGCCGCTCGCGTCGAACAGCACGTGGGCCGGCCGGCCGACCATCTGCTGCCGCCTGCAGTCAGCACAGGCAGGGATGATCAATGGGTATGGGTCAGCAGTCATCATCAGGGAAGGACTCTACTGCAAAGGGCTCTCAGCACCAGCTTTACACATGCTGGGTCAACAATGATTGTGCAAGGAGGGTTATGGTAGTTTGATACAAACTGGCAGAATGGAGTCTCTGCATGATGCAAATATGGTGTTGTTATAATGCAACACAGAGATGCTGTGCCACTGCTCAGACACAAATGCATCCATCTTCAGCATGCCACAGGACAGAATGAAGTAAGATGATGGCACAAGAAAAATGATGATGCATGGCAAAACTATGTTGGTCTTAAGCCACTGGATTTTTCACAGCCTAACAATTAAAAATGTAATTTCTGGGACTTACCAATCAAATTTCCCTGCTTGATCTTCATACAGAGCTAGAACTTTCAATATTAAGCAAGACAGCAATACTAGAATGGTAAATCTAGCCATGTTTTTTCTTAAAACCATGAAACAACCTGAAAAGGAAAAGGGTCATATTATGAAATATCACATGTTATGTTACTGTTCTGACATTTTTTTATATTTAGGTATTATAAAATGTCAGTAGATTGTGCATCAAGATCTAGTTTTGTGAAATGAGAGTACCAAGGCCTGCAACATTATTTGTATCATGTGGTCCCCTGGGGTGAGCAACCTAGAGACCTGAAACCTAGGTGGCTTGCAATATTTATAGAACCAAAGAGCAGAAATTAAACCATCTTGACTTTGAGGACAGTGAGCAACTAAGCAGCAGTTGCTTTTCTGTATACATACTGCAATGATGCATCAGACCAAGCATGTGTCATGCTCTGAAAATGGAGTACCAGAACATGATGAGTCTTGAGATTAGCATCATGATCAACCCTATAAATTTTGAACCCAGAAATAAAGAAAATAATTGCTTTTAGCAGTGTAAATAACTGAACCTGCATTTTCTGCATGGGGGAGTTATTACTGACTGATTGGCCTTTGTCCAGCATGCAGCATACATAAGCTTAAACACAATATTCTATTTTGGCTTAGATATGAATCTTCACATCTGAGTTGGGAATACCACGTCTACACCAGTCCATCAACAATATCCAATGGTAATAAAAATAATTGATCTGGAATGTTTGTCTACACCTATTGATAGTACTTCACCCGATTGTATCTTGCCACCCACCAGACAATTCAACTGCATGGATACAATGCAAAAACAAGGATACGCACGACGCAATATTTAAAAAACACGCATATACGATATATGAGCCATACTAGCCAGCTATCCAGACATTATAAAAGCAATCCGGTGTCCCAAATAGTGCCTCTTCATTCCACTTTTAACAGGCTCCATGCGACCAAAAGTAAGGCACACATTGCCATAAATAACTCATACACTTTCTCCCTCATCCGAACAAATACAAAACACCCAACTAGCAATAAAAAATGCAACACAAAACTACCACCACATAGCCCACCGCCTCCCCTCACGAAAGTCGCGCACGATAGTCACTTCGTCATGAGGCTCAAAGTATGAAGAATGAGTAGACAGGTCTACCGCTTCTGCGATACAAAATGCTACATGATCTAGCTTATTTATAATATTGTGTCGAAACTGAAATCAACAAAGTAGTATTTTTGTCTGATACTGAATAAACAAGCATGAAAATCTTGTGAAGACCCTCTGATATTACTGATTGTTGTATCGGTAGAAGACGAAAGAAAATTAGCCGGGTATGAGACCACGCATAATGACGCTTTTGTTACGAATACAACGCGAAGTTTTGTATGTGACCGTCACGAGTCACTAATTCCGCACGAGTCTTGTAAATACAGGGAGGTGCGGGAGGGTTGGCCGGTTCCCGCGCTTTCATTATATGCATGTTTAGAACACCTTATATCATTGTAAACTAAGGTTTTTCAATGGATGCATGCCTTCCAGTTATTGCGTCAAAGTACGGGGGAAATTTTCCATATTTCCGTCAGCCAGTTAAAGTGGGAGAGTTTTCGTTGGATGACACAAGACAGTTTCACCATGACAGCTCCCGCCAGAAATACATGAGCTGGCCATCAAATAAGTCTCTGGACAGTGGTGAAAGCACTGGTGTTTACTTTGATCTTAACTTGCTGATTGACAAAGCTGTTAAGAAGGATGATTCACAGTTGGATGAAAGGCTAGATAACTTGCTTAAATGGATTGTGAGAAACCAGAGTAAGTTTCAGGTGAAAGGATACAAAGGAGAGCTCAACAGGTATGCTGAGAGGACTGTATTCCCTGGTTTGGGCTACAGCTTCTGCATTGTCAAAAATTCACTTTTATGAACACCTTACTGTAAGACCACTTGGTGTGATCAAATTTCTTGTGTGTTTAGAACTGTAATAATGTTTGTGGGACAACAGTATGTAGAGAAAGTATCTTTAATCCAAGCTCTTTGCATGTGATAAGTGTCCTGTAATTTTATATGATGCTTTGTCATTTTTCTTGCAAATAAAGGAATATACATTGTAAATCCCAACCATTAAAGTTGGTAATGTCTGTTTCAGCCTCTCAACAAATTTTGTTTGCTACCGAGGGCTGATGACAAAGCTTATGGTGACACCCTACGAGAATCGGGAACCGTGGATCATATGTGCCTCAAAATGGAGGTGAGGCCAGCTGTGCTGCACTCCTGTTGCTTGCTGTGCTTCCATGTTTGGAGATTCCTCAAGCTTTCCAGAAGGATTTGAGTATTGATGAACTCTCATTATGTGTTCATTTAAAAGGAACATGCCAGATGTTTAGTGCCAGAATGTCTATTGCATTAGCATCTTGCATCATTGTTTTCAATGCATCAGCATCTACACCAGCAAGATAAGCCTTCCGTGGTCCTTTTTGCCACTTTTTCTGTGATTTGGATCCTGCATTCTATGACAGGGACACTATCTACTTGTGTGCCTTTGACACAGAAGAGAAACAGGCGGAGCGGCAGCGTGAGACTGACAGGCAGCGTACCATGACCAGCTGGGGTTACAAGTTTGAGCAGTTTATGATGGCTGGTAAGAAGCTTATTTGCAATGTTTGTGATGAAACAAGCTTAATGTGTCATCAATTGCCTCAACTTGTTTATCTTATTTATTTGCCTGTGGTTACAAATTCCTTCAGGGCCTGAGGGTTAGTAACCAGCTAAGTAGTCATGGGGCTTCAGCTTGTAACTGCCTTTTTGTTTTTCTTTGCAGACCAATGTTCAATCAGGCAATGGTTGGTGAATGAGTGAACTTTTGTGTGCAACCTGCAGGCTAAAACAATGCACCATTGCTGTGTTTGGGCAGGTCATTGGAACCAGTGGTAGTCTCCAATTATGCTAAATTCGAGTATTTTGCTTAAGTTAGGCCAGCTCACAAAGCCTGACATGAAACTACTGGTGGTGTCCATGTGCTGCTTAAACTGCCATGTTGAGTATCTGTTTGCTGTTTGATTGTGACCATGGTTTCAAGCAGCTCAACAGGTCTGCCAAGCACCTGATCCATCTGTCATTTGCATGCCTTTCTCTGGACTGACCATTCTTTGCATGCTGTCTGCCCATATCCCATGTTTTTGCTGTGTTTCCATGGTAACGCTGCTCCCGTGCCGCAGACGCGGCTGACAGCGAGGCGAACCCGCACGTGCCGGTGCTGGAGGGGGAGGAGTTCTGCTGCGTCCTCCGGTCTCGGCTGGGGTCGCACTCGCTCGTATATGGGGCAGAGGTGGATGGCCTGGACCCACACCATACTGGTCAGTGGCGGGTGCGTGACTGGGGACTCGCGCCGGCCGGGTCAGGGACACTAGAGAGTCGCGCCGGCCGGGTCAGGGACACTAGAGACTCGCGCCGGCTGGGTCAGGGACACTAGAGACTCGCGTCGGCCGGGTCAGGGATACTAGAGACATGCGGCCGGGTCAGGGACACTAGGGACTCGCGCCGGCCGGGTCAGGAATACTAGAGACCGCGCCGGCCGGGTCAGTGACACTAGGGACTCGCGCCGGCCGTGTCATGGACTCCAGGGACTCGACCAGCTGGGTCAGGGCACCAGGGTTTCGCGCCGGCCAGGTCAGACACCTGTGGCACGGGCTGGGCAGGCGACAGACAGCGACCACGCGGCCAGGGATGGTAGTGTGCAGCTTTGGTTGCGCCTTCTGTATCGGAATGATGTCGCATTTTAAAACTGTTTTTGCACACGGCTCAAGACGTTCCATGACAGGACTGTCCGCGCTGTTCACTGAGCTTGCTTGCAGTCATGTGAGGGCGTGTCGGATGGAGGACCGAGCGACATCCCTGGCGTGGAGATGGGATCAAAGCCCTGGTGATCGCACTCGAGCGGCGCCTTTTGGTTTGGGCTTTGACAAAGTCTGTTAAGGGTACACAATGCTCATCCTCTGCTTGTTGGTGCTGCTTGGCATTCTCTGATCATTACTGAGTTATACGCAAGCGCAATGTAGTTCTGCGAAGCCTGCATTGTAAGCGAGTTATGACGATCTATTGTTTATCAGTACTGAGGCGGGAGACTGGCTGATTTTTCCTATCAGGCAGCAAGTTAGTTCAGTTGCGGGACGCTGGTTATTATATGAGCAAGCAAACGTATTGTATTGAGCTGTTGCACTAGAATGAAGTTGAAGGAAAGCAACGAAAGCAGAAAGTTAGGCGGAGTTTCAGCCATCAAAGTCACTCATGGTGACTTATGCGGTGACCACCCGTTATGACTTTCAGGCGACCCTTCCACGATGGCACGTTTCGTCGAACTAAAGACGTCGCGCGAGGTGGACAACCAGAGGCAACGCAACACTCTCCGAAGGTGGGGCAGACATCGTGCCTGTCATGACTCCATGCCTGCGCTACCGTACTAGCATGCCCGCAACCCGAGGGCCATGTTTCAGTTAGCCTGCGCTGCTAGTAAGCTGGGGGTGGTTTCATGCTCGGGGACGTCTGACGGGCAGCTGGAAGTTTTTGTCGTTGGAGTTTTGCTTTGTGTTGTCCGATTTCAGCCGAGTTTCTCTGAGGACTGGCTGTTCTAAAGATGCATTGCGATCACCACTTGTTCTGAATGCTCATTGCCACCTTCTGCCTTTGGGGCTTTACGAAGCGCTTAGCTGCTGGGCTATTAGACGTCGCCTGCCTCGTACACTGGCAGGAAGGGCGGGCACCGCGGGGAATCGAACCCCGTACCTCTGGTTTCCCAGACGCGCAGCGGTAAACGCAGACGTGTTAACTACCACACCACTGTCAGCAGCTACTATCACTGTTCGTCCGAGTCCTACCTCAGCAGCGCACGTCCCCTGAGCGCCCGTGGGTCGGCAGGTTCAAGATGCTCAAGTGGTGGGCCCAGTCCTTCCTCGTGGGCATCGAGCGGGTGGTGGTCGGCTTCCGCGACGATGACGGCGTTGTGCACCGGCTGCACGCTTACAGCACGAGACAGCTGCCCAAGGACCAGGTGGGTACCATTGTACCCGCATGAGTACGGTCGAATATTGGGTTGCGCGTGTGAATGCTGGCCGGCTGCTGATGGCGCGCGCTGGCGAACGCCCCGCGTGGTTCAGCCGATGTAGGTGTCGCTGCGTGGAGAGAAGATCAGCATGCACACGATACGCGTGGTGACTGACACTGATTGTCTGACACGCAATGACTATTTTGTGAATGAAATTACTGTTATCAATGTTACCCTAGCAACCACGTTCATATTTTGGTCCTGAAAGTTCTTGGTTCATGTGTGCTTCTTCTCATGCGTCCAGGCTTCGGTATTGCTCCTCGATTTAAAATTTTGCTTTTCAACTTTGTGCGTAGGGGTCGTCCATAAATTGCGTGACGCATGGAAAGGGAGAATGCGGGATGCGGCGTAAGGGAAGCGTAACAGAGGAGTGGGACGGGAGGTTTTAAAGACCGTAATGTTGCGCTCAAATGTGGTTGCAAATCATGTATTTTTTAGACAAGTGAAAACCTTTAGATCGGGTTCAGTTGGCTTCCCCTCCACCGCATGAATCACGCCTGTTATTTGTTTCGTATCTCTAGCTCATTGAAGGGCCCAACTGACGTTACGTTTTTTGGACGTCCTGTTTAATGCAACGTAACCAGGGGGTGGAAGAGGGGGAGTGCACCCGGCGTAACCAGTTCGTAGCCAGAGTTGAGGAGAGGTCAGGTTGAAAGTGGCTAAAAATGCGTAACGTAACTGATGTGCGGCCCCACGTGCCTGTCATTGCCTCAATGTTTGCATATTGTGTGGATGTATTGCCGGCCGACTGACGCGTCGTCCTGGCAGGATTTCTGGTCGCCGGCCGTGTGCATGAACTTCGCCGACGCACTGCTGAGCTTCGTGGCGCGTCACGTGACCGGCGACGACCCGCGCGCCGTCTGGCGGCTGGACTTCCGGCCCGCCGAGCGGCGGGTCACGTGCACGCCGCTGGGCCGCAGCCAGCGCTTCCGCCTGCTGCCGGACTGGTACACGGAGCAGATGTTCCCGCGGGAGCTGGTCACGTGACCGGGCGCGCCGAGCAGACGTGCCGAAGAGGTCCGGTCATGTGACCTAGTGCTGTCGATCCGGTGGGGTTGTGCCGCGTGGCGGGGCCCATTGCGCCGCACAATGCGCTGATTGTGTTACCCAGTGGCTCTGGCCTAGCTGAGCTCGTCACTGACAGCTGCGAGACTGGTGATGACGTCACCGTTCACCCAGCTCTACCGAGCCAGTCACCGGGCAGTTTGATGGGCGGATGGCGTCAATCCTGCGACGTCATCGTCGCCTGGTTTGGTGCTCGTCCCGCCCTGCGTGGGACGAGGGTGGACGGCCGGCACCGCCAGCCCTACCGAGCCAATCACTGGGCAGTTTGATGGACGGATGACGTCAATCCTGCGACGTCATCGTCGCCTAGTTTGGCGCTTATCCCGCCCTACGCGGGACGAGGGGGGAATGCCGGCACCGCGGTGGGAGGAACTGGGCGCCAAGTTCGTCAACGCTCGTGTTACGTACGACCTTTCCGCGTGGTCTCTAGCAGCGCAGGACTGCGAACCGCTTCCACTGCGGCCATGTCGCGTTTCCATGCTTCTTTTTTCGGATGAATCCCATGAGGTATATTTTTATAAGCTGTCCTCGACAGCCCTCTATTTTATTCTGAGTGTGTGGGCATGACGCCCACCTCTGGGTGTTTTTGCCTTCTCGCAGCTCGGTGCTCACTGTGACGGGACCAAATGCAAGCAAATCCCAGTGGATGGTTTATGATTTATGATGGCTTGTGATGCACGCAAAGCAAGACGGGTCATGGGGGTCGCGTACGAGAGCACTGTGGTGGGTACTGACTCGCCACACGTCCACCTCCCATTAATCCGAGCAAGAGGTTCAGCACTTACAACACTTGTATTTGACTAGTCATTCTGGAATTCCACACCACTTGTCAATCGACACAAATGATTGTGCAAAGCTTCACGTGTCACGGACGATTACACGGCAGTTGTAAATCCACGTAACTGCACTCAAGCCATGTTCAGGCCAATTAAAACGCCCGATCCTCCGTCCGTGTCCTTCCCGTGAACAAGCGATTGCAAGTACTCACACAAATAGCAATGTCGTCTCTCACACCCGCTCCATGATAACCAGCATGAAGAATCAGGCGTCCTGCAGATACTGCACTGAAGCAGAACACGTCGAGAAACACATCCACAGTGCCGGCACGTGCCATTCGATCCGCCCCATTTTGAACACTGCTGCCACTACGCTGACGCGCGCGCCGGGATGGCAAGAGCCAGATCCGACGATCGACGACGGAGAGTCAGCGACTCCTGGCATCGACTTCACGCCCATTTCAGGATCTCGCCTCGGTCCTACCCACAGTTGGCTCCACGGGAGGGGATGTTTGTAAGGACTGTCCGCGGCCACGGCGCCCGCAGCTGACCCACGAGAGCGCGCCTCCGAGACCGCCGCTGCCTGCGCTACGACCGACCGCCCTGTCCCAGCCGTGCGGTGGCTGAGGCGAACCGGAGCGACCCCCTCCCCCCTCGAGCTCGCGCGAGCCGCCGCCAGTAACACGCCGGGCCGCTGGCAACACACGTCCGCCAGTGCCTTCGCCAGGACAGGACTCCGCCAGGGCTCGGCCGTTGCGCATGACATAGCCGCTTCCTCGCTGAAACACGGGAGCCAGCGCGACTCCTCGAGGCTCCCCTGCCATGGCAGCAGCTGCAGCAGCTGCAGCTGCTTGTTGACTGCCATGTGCGGGAGGAGAAGCTGCCTCACCGCGTGCGGTCACGGCGGCTGCAGCTGCTTGTTGAAGACCACCATGAGCAGGAGCAGACAGCTAGCGGTGACGGCCACTGTCGTGCCCACTAGCACCAGCTCCAGGTCTCGCAGGTCCCCCAGCGGCACGGGCAGCACTACCGTCGGGCCCTGGCGGCGGCCGGTGGCGGCGCGGTCAGCCGTATGCACGAACGAACGCATGCATGCATGCATGCATGCATGCATGCATGCACGCACGCACGCACGCACGCACGCACGCACAGCACGCACGCACGCACGCACGCACGCACGCACGCACGCACGCACGCACACACACACACACACACACACACACACACACACACACACACACACACACACACACACACACACACACACACACACACACACACACACACACACTACGCACACACGTACACTGCCCAATAGCTGGGGATTAGTGACAACGCACGCACCCACGCACCCACGCACGCACGCACGCGCGCGCGCACACACTGCCCAACAGCTGGGAATTGGTGACGCTAGGGAGCAGAGGCAGAAATGCGTCAAGATGCAAGGCTTCCGTTGGGGTTACTTGTAGCTACCTGGCGAAAAGCTTAACAGTTTTGAAGAATACAAGACTACATCAGACAACGAGGTTGTCGAGCATTACCATTTCGTTCAAGCTTGGGTTAGTGAACCACGGTATTAAAAGACGTCCGCGCCGCAGGACGATGTTATGGCCATATGACGTTATACTGACGTGATCCAGCTGGATGGGTTCGTAGCTGCAGGCGGTTCCACCCACCGCCCGGCACGGCAGTGACGTCATAGCGCAGCTACATCCGTCCACGCTGTCCCAGTCGCAACCCAGGTACACCTGGCGTCGCAAGAGAACCAATCACAACCTGCCTCCGCCCGGTGCCACCCAGTGCCACGGAAAATGCATTACATATTTTGCAAGGATACCTTTGGGATACGACTCTGCTAACTATGGCTAGTCGAGCGTGTCGTAACCCATTTTTCGAGAGGAACGACAATCCAACGGATGGTTTTCGGTAAAGTGCTTCCACGAATTACGCGGTCCCGTTGCGGTCCGTTTGTTTGTTTGGCATCTGACTTTATTGGCCAGTTGGAAAAATCAAGGTGAAGATTGGCAGCTGTTGGCCAGTTGCCAACACGGCGTCGGAACGCTGACTGGTCTGCTCCGCAACGGGCCGGGTCGGGGTTCTGCTACCCGAGCTGTATGAATGGCCGAGTAGCTGGAAAACGACGCGCGCAGTCCGCCAGCTCTTCAGGCGTCGAGGTGCCGCCGATCTGCTCACGTTAAACACGTGCAAGCATCTCATTAAACCTGATTTTGGATGCATCAGTGGTTATGCGCGAGCGAATCAAGCTGATCACGAATAACGTCTATAACCGGCTGACTGGCAAGGCTGCCCGGTCACCCCGCGGAAGCTCGCGCGCGGCTGTGAGGCACGCTGTCTCATCCCAGCTCAGAAGATGTCGGTGATGCGGATGCGGACGTGCTGCTAGGATGTCTTTCCCTGGGTAGCCTAGCCCGACTCAGCCCGAAGACATTGTCATTCGGGTTTTTATCGACGGGTGGCCATCGGGCCATCATCGAGGTCACTCATATCGCGTCATGCACGGAAGCAGGGTTTGCGAGAACTCACTGAGATCGGGAACACACGTCAGGTCTGACAATGTAATGGCAGATATCCTCGCCACTCATGGAGTCGTCCCGCCTTTACGCAGCTGTGAGGTACTTACTCCCCCCGCTGTAGAGAGATTCCTATGGCATTACACACTAGCTGCTGCGCCGCTGCAGACTGGGCCTCATTTCACCGCAGCCCCACTACCACTACGCTATAGCCTTCCGCCCACGCCACTCCCACCTGCCTCTCACGGCGCTCCAGCCAGACTTACACCTAGATCCTGCCTACCTCTCACCTCACTCCAGCCCAGATTTCACCTCGCTCCAACCCGCCTCTCACTCCACTCCCGCCTGCCTCTCATCCCGCAACACTCTCGCATCTTCACCCTGTTCCAGCCAAACGCTCCCCGCCATAGCCCGCCTCTCACCGCGCTCCAGCCAACTAACTCCGCTCCAGCATTGCTTCTCATCCTGTTCCAGCCGAACGATCCCCGCTACGGCCCGCCTCTCACCGCGCTCCAGCCAACCTATCTCCGCTCCAGCTTGCCTCTCACCCTGTTCCAGCCAAACGCTCCCCGCTATAGCCCGCCTTTCACCGCGCTCCAGCCACACTACCGCTCCAGCAATGATTCTCACCCTGCTCCAGCCAAACGCTCTCCGCTCCAGCCCGCCTCTCACCCCGCTCCACACTGCCTCTCACCAGCACCATACCGCCTCTTGTCCCGTCCTGTTCATTCCAGACCGTCTCTCACTCCACTGAAGTCCGCCTCTCGTCACACTCCAGCCGGTCCCTCCCCCCACTCCAGCCGGCCTCTCACCCCACTCAAATGAGCGCCAAATGACTACCGCAGTCGGCGCGCCCTAAAACACCAACCAACAACAACAACCCCACTCAAATCTGACTCCCCGCCGCCACACCTGAAGCAGCCCTGCCGACGCCTCGCCGGCCGCCATTGGCGGCAAGCCTCACCCGGGGCGGGTCAATGTAGACGGGCCGCCACCCGCTCCGTCTCGTCGGCCCGCTGGTAGCGCGCGTGCACCGGCAGTGTTATCTGCACAGTCACGTGACCCGTCTGTGGCCGAAAAAGATGCAGGTCAAAGGGCTAAGCAGGCTGCCCGGGCGTCTGCTAGCAGCGATGATGAGACGAGATGGGGGACCAGACTGTTGATGTTGCGTGTTCGGACAAAATCCTTTTTCGAAAGCTGAAGGTGATTGCATGGTGTTGATAACGGTAATGACGTGGGCCATGCATATGTGCGACTTCTTTTTTCCATGTTATATTTTTTAATGATTTGTATGGTGGTGAAAAACATCACGACGCCCGGGGTTATATAAATTATTTGTAACACCATGTCTTCCGTAATCATACTGCTATCAGTTGATCTCACTGCCTAATTCAGCTGCTAACCACATGTCTCACCTGCGCACCCTCTGTGGCATTTAGCTCCGCCCACGCCAGCACCCGCAGCCAATCGGAGTCATGTGCCATGGCTTCGACGTCGACGGGGCCATCGACGCGGTATTGGTTGCTATGGAGACGGGCCAGCTGATAGGGGTCGACATACATTCCGCTGGGCAGCCGCTCGACGATCAAGACCCGACAGCCAGTCATGCTGGCAGACCAGGGCAGCTCCAGTGATGTCACCAGATCCCTGTTACAACCAGGGCACCCAATGTGGTGTTAACTCATACCACAGAGATAGCCAAATCTGGTTGTTCTCATGGGACCTAAGCTCATCAATAGTTCAGAGTTAACATTGCTTAAAAAGAGCATCCCACCTTGGTGTACTTAGCACTTGGTGTTGCCCACTACACACACACTTGGTACATCAATTGCGACGATTCAATCCGTAATATCAGTTTACTCGAAATCCTTTTGAAAAGCTCAGAATTTCGATTGGAGGTAGGCAGCCCTGCAGGAGAAATCTCATTTGACTATCTGCTCACCACGATAAAGTAAAACATTGTCTGCCTTGCGTTTTCCATATTTCTTATGTTTACGACACAACAATGTGTGAAAACGTTCGCGCAATGAACATCATCAAAGCTTAAACATTTAAGACAAATTTATGTGAATATGAAGCTATCATCCTACGAATTCAACAAAACATTATAACATGGCCTTAATTTCTCCATATGTTTAGCACAATGGCCTTTTGGGGCACACGCTTTGGGAATGGGAGCACTACATGATCTATGCAACGCACTGGTTCAATCATGAACCAACCAGCTTCTGGTAAAAGTCCTTTACTGCTGGGCCAACGACAGTCGCTCTCAGCAGAAGAGGTGTGCACTGTCATTGTCATGACGACAGTGGTCGCGCCCACACAGAAGAAGCTAGTGTTGCTCCAAAGCATTGACAGTGTAATTTGGAACAAAAAATTATCAAAATTGATTCCCTCCTCATGTCCTGACAGTGCGGCAGTGGTGCCACCCAGTGACATAATTGGACACAACTAGTCCTGAGGTTTCTCTAGAGCTTTTTGAAATATGTCCTGAGGTATGCCACTCCAGTAAAGAAAATTGTACTGATACAGAAAAGACCTTCAGCAAAGAATCCCCTTACAGCACATTTTGAGAAATCATGGGTGCTTTAAGCCCTGTGGACAGTAATCCAATCAGTTTTTTCAGTACAATCAGGTTACAAGCGAGCTTGGTATTAAGCTGGGTATTTGGTATACCTTCATACAATGCCCTTCATGTCAAATGAAAATGGATGATGATGCCTTTTGAAAAGACCCTAATCACCTCTACAAATACCTTTCCATGAATTTGAGATTGTTATGTTTGATGGGTTGTATATGTTTTGGAATGGAAGCATGAAAAAAGTATATGACATAACTTAACACACAACCTATATGACAAAAACTTTATATACACATCAAAATAAATTGTCAGAAATATCAAAAGGATGAATGCAAGTAGCTGCTACTTCTACTGTCAAATCATGTGTGAGATAATCTTAAAATTAAATTCCTATGCCATTTTACCTCCCAAATCAGTCTAACCCCTCTCAATAGTACTTGCCTACCTAGACTACCTAGAGAATCCTGAATCACACATCTTTAGCACAACCTTAAAGCAGTGCTCAATGGGGCACCATTAAGTTTGGCATCACATTTATGTTTTGCAGTCCTACAATGGAGATTTACCACACTCAATCACAAATGTCAGAACCAAAAGGAGCACAAGTGTCATACAACTGGCTGAAAACTTTTCTGGCAAAAGCCACAATATGCAAATCCATCTAAAACAGCAAGCTACTGGCAACCAATGGATGGTCCAACAATAAAGCTATGCATCCTGGACCTCAACTCCAAATAAGCCATGAATCATCCCTGCCAACAGACACGTTTCCTCATACCACCCACCTATGAAATCCATCCTTCTGTAGTTCTCTGGTGATTGGAATGCTGAGGTCGTGACAGCAGTCTAAGGAATAAGCCTTGTTGCAAAGAATGAGAAAAAGCACGACGCTATGCATTTTCCCCGATCCCATTTTCCTACGCATCCGGGTAACGTAAATCAAGCGCTGAGCATTTGACTAGCCATGTCATTATCGTCCATACAGATGCATTTTATTCCATAATTATTCACAGCACGCGGCGCCCCACAGCACCCCGGACACCCCCACGGCCTCTTTCACATATGATGCCTATGGTTATATAGCCCCTGCTTGGTTCTATTTCTTGTCGGTCCAACGCAAGATTGGTTAACTTGGCGCAGCTGCTTCTTTCATGGATTACTACTATTTTACTGCTACCCACACAGTCGACTCAGCGTCAAAAACGCGTCGCATTATTGCAAATGATTGATATTCAACAGTCAGGTTGTTACCATGTTACCATGTTACCATGCTATGCATCATGTTACCAGTGATGGATAATATGATGACCTAATGTTATCACATTCGTGCGCAATGCTTTTGACATTTGTGCACAACCGAGACTGGCACCGGTTCTGGACCAGCTGCCGCTGGCGCTGGTCCAGCTGCTGTTGTTCGCCCGGAACTTCAGTCGCTTTGGACCATCGACACCGTTTCACCGATCAACATGAAGCCTGTAAAACATCGCGGACGAATGGTTGTTTGTAAATGTAACGCCGCATCATTTTAACCCAAGCTTGAAATGCCAGTGGGATTTCTTTTTGTTTCGGTCCTATCTATGTCACCAAAACCCATCAATGGTTCAATATGCCAAAACATCACTGGGTTCGGACATCACCGACTCCAGCGATGGTTGCATCCATGCCTCGACCAATACCGATTGTCTGGAACCTAGACCAGCGTGGTGGGGTTCACGCAGCACGCTGTCTTTCTGCGCGTCGCCTCGACCCACTGTCCGCCCATAGACAAGTGCCGTTTGCACTATAAGCTCCTCTAAACGGAGCGACTAATGATTCTTCGCCTCTAATTCCTCTGGTTTCCGAGAGGTATCATAAATTCCGAAGAGCTCCCGAAGACCGGTTTTTTTGGCTTATGGTCATGACTTGCGCCATGCATGAACTCACATGTTTGCCAGAACGATTATCTGTTTTCTCTCCGCTCAGTATTAAGTCTACGTCGCGGTGATGCCTGGCCGCCGAGACACAGATACTGTTTCCTATCCTTGTCGTTCAGTTTATCGTTTCGCGATCCAAAAGTCACGTTTTCCATGTTATGGAGTGGGGAGATAAAACACTGGCAGGTGTGCAGCGTTGTAGAAATCCGCCACCAGATGGAAGAGGGCGCACTTTCTGCTTTGAAATCATACGCTACAATTTTGAAAAAGTAGCATACTGTTTGAACATGCAGCACAGTCCTTCAAAGCGTGCTTGCATGGAATTGCATCGCATTAATTTGGTGTGCGTTACGGCCGACGGAACTTCCGTTAGATCCTGATGGCAACGTGACCACGGCATTCATCTTATATTTAGTTACTCCTCTATCCTCCACACCTGGATGCTTCAATCTATGCATAAGGCAAGAAACCAGCTTCATGATGTAGGTGGCATCGTCTGCAGGCTTCTAAACTGGCCCGACGGCAATCGACCTGTACGCTACCAATATCACAGCATGCGCGAGAAGGGCATGATAATATATATATATATATATATATATATATATATATATATATATATATATATATACATAGTGAAAACCATTTGTGCAAAGTCCAATCTGCTGCAGGCTCAAACATGTGCGTTGTCAGAGCTGATGCAGCGGCATAACTGATGTCTGTTAAGTAACAAGCGCTTCAGAATAGTTGTTTGCCACGGAAGTTCAACATAGGCCGTTATGGCCTCCTCAATTTTAACATGCGGTCACAAAAGAACAAATCCTAATGCCGATGAGCGATGCAATGATTGAGAGCTGTTCGATGTGCTCTGGTGCTCTGGCACACACACTGGAAGACTGCTCGGTGTGCTATCGTGCTCTGGCACACACACACTGGAGGACTCAGTGTGGTCTCGTGCTCTGACATACACTGGAAGACTGCTTGGTGAGCTCTCGTGCTCTGGCACATACACTGGAAGACTGCTCTGCCGGTGGAGGGGATTAGCGCAGTACCTCATGTTCGTAACCAATAATGTGTCATAACACGTAATGCTCGAAACACCTAATGTATCACAACTACTAATGTGTCATGACCTCTAATGTACCATAACCCTTAATGTTCGCAACTCCTAACGTATCAGAAATCCTCATGTTCATAACCTCTTATATACCATTGCCCACACACACGCTGGAAGACTGTCCGGTGTGCTCTCATGCCCTGGCACACTCACCAAACGACTATTTGGTGTGCTCTCGTGCTCTGGCACGTACATTGGAAGACTGTTTCGCATTTTCAACTTGCGATTGTATGAACATTTTATTGTATTTAACAGCGTCTACGTTTTTCTCCCCGCAGCGCTCTCATGTTTCTGACTGCCGTGAAATTAGAATGTCATAAAAGGTCAAACGCAGAAGCTCGTGAAGATTTCGACTGTTCATGAGACTTCTCGTACAAAACTGAAACACATTGGTAACCACCCACCGATACGGTGGCTCTGCCGGAAAACCACCGTCAGCGGGACCACGGATGAATGCTTCCATTTAATTGGGTATAATCCGCACCAAAAGTTCATGCTTCCATCAAGCGGTAAAGCGCGATACCCTGCCACTCGAAGGCAGGCAGCAGACGGGCTCGCGATTACGGCCGCGTGGAGCACGGCACGTACGCTGTGTATAACGCCTCGAGGAAAAACGGAGCGGACACCGCCTTCAGCGCCACGGCGCATCATGCGTTGCGCGTACTGACAGAGATACGACAAATGGCATAGCACTTCAGATTCGGCCCCCCGAAATTTGCCAGGGATGCGACAGATCGCATCGCACTTCGAATCCGGCCCCCCGGAACACAGCGGATCCGGCCCCCCGAAATTGGATGTTTCAGCACTGCACCTTTATCGATGCATGAAGCAAGTGACGTCAACAACTTAGCATTTCTGTCGGGTCCCCATCGCACCATCACCACCATACAACGACATTTAACGCACGACACGCCAACACACGAACTTCGCCAACGCGACCGGTGGCGTTCATGTGTGCCTGCCTACATTGTCTGTGAACGGTGGCCCCGCCGTCCACCTGCTCCATCGGCTGGTGGCGCACACCATACAGGCCCCGACAGTGTGATCAATGCAGGCTATGTTGACGCGTCACCGCGGAAACACGGCCCGCCAGCTGTCCGTGGTGCGTGTCACGGCTGGGGCTACATCGCGGCTCTTTCCTGCCAGCATCGCGTCGGTTGGTGGTTGAACAGGACAGCTTCGAATGCGTTGATGCGTCGTCACGAAAACATCGCCCGTCTGCCCCTGTGATGCGCGCCGCGGCTGTATCGCGACGCTGGAACGCTGCCCAGCAGCAGCGGAGGACCAAAGGGTTAAATGTCACGCGGCTAGTTCTGGAAGGAAAAAGCTGCCAATGAAAACTGTCGTAGGCCGATAAGTCGAAAATACATTAGGTTCTGACGGATACTGGTTAGGCTCTGAGACATTCGATAAGAATTGATATTAGCTCCTCATTCAGCGTGTTGAGTCACACGATTTGACACATTTTGCATCGAAATGAAAAATATTCAAATGACGATTTGTTGTTGGCGTAAACACAGGTAATCATAGCGATCAAAATGGACAATAGGTGAATGCTAAACGTCGACAGCGTATTGCTTAACAGAGACCAAGCCCCGATTTGAATAGGCACATCTACATGTTTTGGCCGCAAATCAGTTGTAAATGTTTTGTTGTTATTTTGCTTTATTTGTTGTTGTCAAAAATGTTTACCCTTTCTTCTGAATCGAATGATGCAAACAGCAACATGAGATATGTGTTTGAGCATGCACGCTCGCAGTCTTTAGGGGCGAAAAGGCCGACGCTCACCAACGTTTACAGGCTTCGTGTAGGCTGCGCCACATTATGACACGAGGCATGGGCGAACGAACGGTCAAAAAGACCACGCGTCTTAAAGCAGTCAGTTCGAAGCCTGCATGAAATCAACTCGTGCGTATGAAAAACACTTCGGGTCGGGGTTTACCTAGCCCTCAAAATTTAACAGATGGAATATGTGCCCGAGTCTTACAATTGAACTGTGCAAATAGCTTTTAAGGGGCTTTCGGGAGCACCATTTCCCGACACATGTTCATCTCGCACGCGACGGCACCTGATGTTACCCGCGGCACTCAGCGCTGCTCGATTCCACAGAAGCTGCAACGCCGGGAATCGGTATTTCTGCTCGTAAAGATTGCGCATGCTCAAATTGTGTTATGCAATTTCGTCTCTAACCGATTCTGGAGAAGACGGACGTTCTCAGGCAAGCATGGCGCCGACCCCGCGATTCAACTTTCTGACCTTTTTCGATTCACCTTGTTGAATACTGAGAAACCTTGCACCTTCCCAGTCAGAGGACCTGGCGGGTAGAGCACTGGAGGGCACATAACCTGTTCCGGTCAGGGACTGAAGGCCGCTCCGCCTCAGCCTGGGGTACCAACCGGCTGCCATTCTGGCGACACAGAGGCCGGCGCCCCCCCCCCCCCCCCCCCCTGTCTATCAGGAGACCCTCAGAGGGATATCTCATGTATCGGTTCAGTCCCTGACGCGGGAGGCCCTCTGACTGAGGCAGGATGGATGGGCCTCGGTAGGCCTCGGATGGATGCAAGGGCCCCAGTGACGCAAAAAATGATTCATTAATGGCAAGGAGAGTTCAAAAGCTGGCACAGGGACTCCGGCTCAGCTCATCTCAGTCCTTGACTGAAACGGGGCAGAGGGAACCTTGCTAAATACTGGGGCTCCCTACGACACAGAGTCCCGGCTTTGTTTTATTGCACATCCGATCTTAATCAGTGTCCAGATTTCTTCTTACCTTCTCCTTAATAAGGCTAACGCAAGAAACCCCTGACATTCGGGAGCGCCACTCATTCCTGATCGTAAAATGTGCCCCCGGCCAACCCGGGTCCCCTTGTGAAACAGGACCCCTGCTAGAATCCTGTCAGGCACTGTGGGTGGCTTGACCGCCATAGGTGCCCGTATTGTCTCAGAGGCTCCGACTAATGCGAGAGCTCGTCAGCAACAGCCACGCGCTTCGTTCTTGTCCATATTTGGGAAGAGGGCGCCAGGCTCAGACCGACGCAGAGCCGGCTAATCGGTACTTATGGTCCCTGGCCGACATGGGGGTCCTCATCGTCCCAGGAGCGCGATCGGCGTAACAGGTCGTCTGACTGACATTTGAGAGTCCGTCACTGCGGGCCGGGGGCACAGACAAAGCCTTGGCAAGGAGGGGAGGGGGGACACAGGGCTGACAAAGGCTCCGTGATTGTGAAAGTCTCGTCCGAAAGGAAATCGCGGATTTGGCCAGTCGTTAATAAGATGTTTTTGGTTGTCATTTTTTTCTGCTTTTCTTCTATAACTTGAGCAGAACCCAGAAGGCACCTTAATATCAAAATTGCTTGAATTTATCAACCTCAGATATCAAGGTCCTATAGAAATCTGCCAACAAATTGCATCAACTGACCAAGCCATGTTTGTCTGGAAGTGCTCGACATTTGGTCACAACCGATCAGTGATACAAGCTGTGCGACATAGTTTTCAACACGCCCACTCGCGAATCTCAGAAACAAAAACCTCGACATCAGGCGCTGCAACCTTTATAAGCCACGGAGCGTCGGCCCCGTGGCTAACACTAAGCCATGTGTAACGGCTGACAAAATTGATGGCGCATCTAAAATAAGTGTTTTTGAGCGCTTTAGGACATCACATGGAGCATTTAATTGGTGGTTCGGACGTACATGTCACCTGTGCGATTTTCATATTGACGAAGAAGAAAGGCCTTTACAGCACCGCGGAGTGGTGCTGAAATCTGGATGTTGAACTGGAAGAGTAAAGAAAGAATCTTCATTTTTCGTGTTACCGCAGCCAAAATTCTGTCCAGCAGACGATCTCCAAGTTGTGAAAAAATCTCCAGCCTAATTTTTGGACGGTACGCTAATTTTGAAGGACATTCGGAAGCATCATTTCACGACGGTCGTTCTCAGGCGCACGGCGCAAGCCGCCTGGTGTTATTTGCAATGTCTGACGCCATTGGGTTATAATGGAACTGCAACGCCGACACTCGCTGTCCTTTCTCCCGAGATCACGGGTGCACAGGGTCAAAGCTTTCTAATGCAATTTGTTTCACTAGTCAGTTCTGCTAAAGAGTCAACGCTCTAAGGCATACATGGAATAGGCTTGTTCAATTTTTGATTGAATTCGATCCACTTTATTCAACACTACTGAGATCCTTACTTTTTTCCGGGAATGGGCTCCCTTGAGAAGAACACAAGGGGTACATTACTGTTCAAGTTGAAGGGCTTAAGGGCCATTCCATCCCACTGAGGGATGTTTTCCGGCTGCCATTCTGGCGATAGGGGACGGGATCCCTGGCTAGTCCGGAGGCCCTAAGAATAATAGACCATATCACATCGGTCCCCCACCCGGACGCGGGAGGCCTTCTGGTACGCGTAGTCCGCAATTGACCCCGGACCGACGCATGGCCCCGTACTGACGCAACAACATCCCTAATCGCCGCAAGTGGTCCAATGACTTGCACATGGACTCCAGTTAAGCTTAACGGCCCATGCTGGAATTAAGTTGGAGGGCCTACCGTTCGGGACTGGGGACCCCGACTGGCACGGCACTCTTTTAATGCCTTAATGTGAACAATTGCCATCAGCTTTCATTTTCATTTTCATTTTCAGAGACCCTCTCCTACGACCAGCGCAGGATGCCCTCTGCTGTTCGGAGTTTTGACCCCACCCCTGTTCAGCAAATGTTCCACTGGCCAACTCTAGCCCCCTTGTTGACGCAGGACACTTTTTAAGCACTACCGGAGCGCCGCACTGTTGCAGGAGCTCAGACCAATGTAGATCGTGGTAGCTGCCTTGTTCCTGCTTGGGAAATGGGCCCCAGAACTCAAATTTACACGGAACCGACAGTTTGGTGCTCGTGACCTTTGGCCGAAGTCGAAGAGCTCACTGCCTCAGTGGTCCCCACTCGGTGCAGGAGGCCCGTAACTAACATTTGAGATCACGGTCTTACGGGGGGGGGGAGGGGGGGGGGGGGTCCTAAGTGTGACCTCATACCCTTCCGACCCTTCAGCCTACAAAGTAGGCCGTTCATTTTTGGTCTCGAGAGACCTTTCGGCCACCCTTCGGGCCTCTCCCCATGGCTCCAGCCCAACTCGGGGCCACTTGCCGTCACAGGACCCTTGTTAGGCCCCTTGTGGTCCCTGGCCGACACAGGAGTTTGTTATTGCGGCAGGGATCCTGAACAGTGCAAATCTTGGGCTCCCGCCTCATTCCTGCTTGAGACATGGGTCCCAAGAGCACAGGCAGACACGGAGCCTACTTTTTGGCGCCGTGTAGAGACCCTATGTAAAAGGTACAGACATCCCTATTAAGAGGGCCCTTATGAAACCCTCCGACCAAAATTTCATCTCACGGTACTACGGGGGAGGGGAGGGGCAGCCCCAAGTGTAATCGGGGCCTTATAAAAGACCCCATGTAAAAGGTACAGATATCCCTATTGAGAGGGCCCTTATAAAACCCTCCGACCAAAATTCCACCTCACGGTACGGGGGAGGGGAAGGGGCAGCCCCAAGTGTAATCGGGACCTTAATCTTTGGTCCCGACGAGCCATTCAGCCCCATTTCGAACCCCCGCCAACACGGCTGCTGGGGACTCCGGCCACTTGCCAACACAGGCCCCCCCGTTAAGCACTGCGGGCCCTGACCGACCCTCCTGCGGTTTCAGTGAACTCGCTTGATGCAAATCGCGGGCCCGGCCTTGCTCCTGCTTGGGAACAGGGTCCCCCGGTCCCGGTTTCACACTGACAGGGAGTCAACCGCTCAGTGCTGGCGGTCTCTGGTCGATTTATGCACCCGCATTGTCTCGGGGGTCCTGAAACGGTGCAGGAGGATCGCTAACTGATATTTTTTTGGGCAAGGCTCTATGAGACACGATTCCTTATGTGGTCAAAACACAGTACTTCGGGACCTTAACCTCTTCAACCGGACACTTGATGGTCGGTTCCGGTCTGCTGTCCGGGCCCCTCTACGGACCTCATCGAACACTTCCCTCGGTCGACTCGGGGCCTCTTGCGAACACAGAACCCTCTGTTGGCACCCCGGATTCCTGACAGAGGCCCCGTGAGTCGATAAGGGCCCATATGGCATATGACATAGGGCCCCGACCCAATGTAAGAATGCGGTACCGGTGTTGCCTCACCGACATATATGCCCTTATCGACTCATACGATTCTCATAAGGGGCCCGTATCAGCACAAAAGGCCCTCTGATTGCCACTTGAGGGCCCGTCTCGGCAGGCCCTTCAATCGGGCGCTTGATCGTCGGTCCCGATGGGCCCTCCAGGCTTTTTGAGCCCTCTCGAACACTACCTTTGACCGACTTGGGGCCCCTTGCCAACACAGGGTCCCCAGTTAGGCGCTGTGGGCCCAAACGGACGCTAGAGCCCCAACCAATACAGATCACTACCTCTGGCTATGACCCTGCTTGGGAAATAAACCCTCAGGCCCATGAAGACGCGAGACCCACTGTGCGTGGCTGGTGGTGCCTAACCGCCATATGGGCCCTTATCGACTCACGGTCAGCGGGCAGATGAGGCGGGCAGCGGGCAGACCCTGATCAGCGGGCAGAACCATCTGGCTGGCATTGGAGTGCCAGGCCCTACAGGCCAGAGCCCCTGAACACGACCTCCAGCAGGCCTTTCGGATCATTCGCGCTCTCCAACCGGGCCCTAAACCGTAGGTCCAAGAGGTGCCTCGGGCCCGCGAAACCTGACGGAACATGCGCCCACTCTGCCTGCACAGGACTCCGTAATGCGTCCTACGGCCAGCTCTATGGGCTGTTGAAGTCCTTCATACTCCGGAACTGACCACCGGCCAGATACCGACAACTACTCCGCGCGCGCACCTCCTTGCATGCTCAATCCTATGCCTTAGAATACGGGAATCCCCCGTCGTCTGTGCCGGGCAGCACAACTTGTCGGTGCGGGTCGCGGCCACGATCACGTCATCGTTCGGTGCTGTCATTGGCTAAAAGTGATGTCATGAACAGCTGCCAGTTTGAGTCGATATCCGGAGCTATACTAGGACACCGGAGGATTTTAGAAGCTAGTATCAGTCCATGCCTCCATTTTCGACCATGCTGAGCTCACTTGAAGAGTATACGATAAAAATTATGTCTTTTAGTCGGTATTTAATGCTTAAAAATTTACCACAACACTTTTTACTAGTTTTTGGATAGATATTCTCAGAAGTATTTCTGGTTTCCTAGTTCCTGTCGATGATTGCACCACCTTTCGTCATTGCCAGCGTATGAGTTTCCGTAGGAGGTCGCGGTACTCGCCCACTCTCTCTTGGCCTTTAGGCTTCGGCGCACGAATGGGTTCCGCTCGCAAGGACTGAAGTGGACGTATTTCCTGTTTGAGGTGCCCTCTGATTGTGTGGCACTGAGGATACTAAAGGGATATAGGTCCCTCCGGGCGTCCGGAGAGGTGAGCGCCTAAGGCAAGTCTTGGTGTTTCGCGGCAGAGGCTCGCAAGTCGGTTGTCCGCACACGGATTGGGCCCGCCTCCACAAACCGCTAGCCGCTTGTGTATGCTGTGGTTGCTTCTCGTATGCACACCAATGGGTTCAGAGACGCAGAATTCTTGGAGACGTTCATAATGATGGGAGGGCTCATGTGGGGGGGGGGGGGGGTTATTTTGCCACATAGGATTGATTTGAGATCTGGGGTGGTGGCCTAGGAGGTCACCTTAGCCTGGTTTGCAATTGGTTGATTATTTCAATGTCACATTCAATGTTTTGTTGCATTTTTTCATTTCAGTTTTATTGAGAATAAATACCATCATGCTATTATTAAATTACCTCACACTAGTGAGTGTCACAGGAAAAGGTACTGATGGTTAAAGATGCAGAAGTTAAGTGTTTGTGTAAGCCCCAAAGGTGAACACTGGCATTCCAAGAAAGTGATTCAATTATCTATGGTACAAGATTGTGTCATAAGCCATGTAATGATCATTGATTGTCATCAGGTGGGACCTCATCAGGTAGCCATTGTGGGATGCATTGCCCAGCTTAGTATTGGCTCTTGCCCTTCCCATGGTTATGAGCTTTAGGTATTAGGTTTTAGGGTGCATCAACTTAAATTGTATGGGTGCCCTATCGATATTGACTGCATGGGCTGCTGGTCTTATGTGCAAATATTGGGTGTGGGAGACATTTATTTGTCATGTTTTTGGCTTGCTCTGTGCAGTATGTTTTTGATCTTTTGGTATCTGGATTATGCAAAACTGCATGACCCAAATTTGATTCAATATAAAATTTTATTTGATTATCTTAGGTTTGGTTAGCATGAGCACCATAGGGCAGGGGCAATGGTCCCCACCTGCCTCAAATCACCCTCCATGGTTCTGAGAAATCAGAGGTTTGTGTTTATGTTATTTTGGTATGAAATAGCAGCCTTATAATGGAATGATACATCAGTCCAAAATTTTTGCTAGCTGTTGGCCTTCAGGATATGCTTATGTGATCAGACAGGCATTAATGCATAATCAGTTATTATATGAAACCAAGAGAGAATTGGATTCTTTTTGTTGAATGGAAAATTTTTCAGTTGATGGTTGACCTGGTAAGTGACATTAAGATCAGGTGCCCTGCTGACAATAGTATGTTTAACACATGCTGATCCCATCATCCTAGGGACTTAGATGTAAGATAATATGATGTATGGATGCCAACAAAAGTGTACTGAAGTTTCTTGTGGGCCATGGACTAAAAATTGCATCTGCTTGAAGTAATATCTTAAGTTTTGTGCTTCAAACAAAGTTAAAAAAAAAATTGGTGCTTCACAATATTGTTAGGTACTTAGTTTCACTCTAAGAAAATATTATGCAGGTTTGCAATCAGACACATTAAAATATCATAGTTTGTGCATTCATTAGGAATCCTGCCAAAATATATAACCTATCATTCTCAGCACTCAGATGTTGCGTTTAACAAAACAATGCATGGAGTGGTCTGGCTAAGAGTCAGTAAATTTGCATGCACCATACATGCATTATCTTGAGTTGGCTGGGTGACAAGTGAATCTAAAGGCATCTTTGTGTCACCTGCTTGTGTTAATTCCATGTGTAGTTCTTCCATTCTGTATTTGATAACAATGTACATCTCAGTCTGCTTGTGTATTGTTGCATCACATAATTGTTTGTGTGTTCCAGCTTCTACTGCTGCTGGTTGGAGGAAACAGAAACTTTCTCCAGGACTGGTGACTGGCTGTTGTTGCCCTGGGCCTTATTTTGAGATAAGGCCATCTTTTCATTAGGCTTTCAAGGAGGCAACATTTCCTTTCATTCTCTGATACAACCCAAGTGAGTAGTCCAGTGTGCTTCAGTATTGTGTGGTTTAATGTGTTGCTGTTGGTCATGATATCAGAAAGTGTGGGAACAATGCTGTTCAATTATGTAGTTATTTGATGTACATCATCTAATTATTTGCAAGTCAACACTTTTCAACTAACCTTAGCTGGTGTTTCTGAACTAATGTTGCATTTGTGTGACATCTTAAAAGGTAGGATAGATTTTCTTACATGTCATGTGTGAACTGTCATCCATGCTTCATTGTTACCAATTCATTTGGTGAATGGTGTATTGTCCCTGTGAGGAAGGTTTGAGCCAGAGAAATGTCTGAAGTGCACCATCATACCCAGATAAGAAGTGGGAATTGGGCAGGTAGTTGCTGCTAATGAAGAAGAGTGCCCTAATCCAGGATCACCATTCAAGTGTGAGGTGCTATGCCTGAATGAGTGGTATGTGACAATTTACCATGAAGAGGTTGTCACTGTGGACCAGTTACAAGAAGACTTGTCAGGTCTCTACAGTTGTTGCCTTCAGGTCTCTACAGGAGTTGTGGCCTGACTGCAGTGTTAAGTGCCTTTGAAACAGCCTCCCAGAATGGATGCAGATTCATGAACCACCCAGGTGTAATCTGCAGTGATTTGGGGGTGAGGTTAGATTGTTGCGGCACGTTTGTGACTGGCCCGACCGGAAGTGTATCAGCGTCTGCCATAGCGCGGTCCACCACGAGCCGCGCGTCTGAGCGCGCGCAGTGCCGACGAGGCCGGGGTCAGCCGTGTCGGCGCCGGGAGCCGACGGCTCCGAGCCGGGCTAACGGCTCCGGTGCCACTCTTGACAGGCACCCAGGGTCGGCACAGCTGCTGCCCGGCCACCATGACCCTCGGCCGCCCGTCCCAGCGTCGCCCCAGAATGGTAAACTCGGGCGCCGGCTGGGAGTGAGTATGGGTGCTCGCCGCGACGCGTTGTGAAGCTGGCATTGTCACCGCTGACGCGCGGTGGGGTCTGGTTCTCCGCGGGCGGCGCACGCAGCGCGGTGGGCCTGATTCTCCGCCAACGGCGCACGCGGCGTGGCGGGCCTGGTTCTCCGCGGGGCGGCGCACGCAGCGCGGTGGGACTGGTTCTCCGCGGGCGGCGCACGTGGCGCGGCAGGCGAAGCGAGTGACTCGGCTTTTCGTGATGCAGGAAGATTGGCGGCGAGTGTTGATCGCGCACGGGTGGAGAGGCGGCGTGCTCAGGCCTCGCACGCTCCGCTGCTGTTCTAGAGCGGCAGTGCTTCATCGACTTCATCTTCGCAGAGAAAATCTCGAGGCGAAGAAGAAGCCGGGAGAAGAGTCGGTCGCTGGTTGGCATGAAGACATTAGCCGCAGTGCGGCTCCAAACCCGAAGATTAAGAAGATCAAGTATCCATGCGACGAACCCGGCTGTCAAAATTTCGGGGTTTTGTGTGGGTGGTGCATTTGGCCCCGTACTCGGCGCGAGCGGGCGCAGTTGTATGGCGAGCGCGCCGGGCGCAGCCCGGTGAGGACCAGGCCCGTCTCGGTCTCGGAGTGTCGCCCGCCTACCCGCTTCGCAATGTGCGTGGTCGCCACCGCCCCTAACCTCTCGCCCGGCTCACTCTGTTTCAGATAAACCAAATATGTTCCACGTCAGGAGTTTCACCGTCTTCGGATGGCTCTCAAATGTTGAAGCGAGCGCGGCCGGAGGTGCCCAGCCTGGAGCTGGGCCCTCCGAGCCCCAGCTGGATGGACCAGCTCGTCGGGTCTCCCCCCGGTGTGGAGAAGACGACGGCGCCCCTGGAGGCCTTCAGCGTCACTGGCTTGTCAAATACGAGCGCACGTGGCTGGACCTGACGACGGCGAGCACCGGCGACAGCGCACCACGGAAGCGGAAGGCGTCTCCCACTGCAGCGACAGACGCGTCCCCGCTCGGCACAGCGCTCGGAGAGCCGGCCAAGAGGATTTGTGCGAAGAGCCCGGGCAAGAGGCCTGCGAAGCGACCCTCTGTGAAGAGTGGCGCGGCGTTGTTACGGGCGATTGGGCGCTGAGCGACGATTTGATTGCCGATACGGATACGCCGAGCGAGGAGATTTTGACCACCTCTGCCATGGATATGGAGAGGGAGGTCACCGAGGAGTTCATGAATGAGATCTGGGGAGATCTCGCGCTGGATCTGTCCCCTTTTTCTAATGGTGAGTTACTCATGTTTTGAAGACAAAACATTCACGGAGATTTTCTACGTCTCCTGATTTCGTGCCGCCTGAATTTTGATCCGAAGCCGATGTCTGTGATCTTTTCTCACATACACCGAGTCATTAGGGATCTATTTCATTTCATTCCGTTCATTCTCACGTCCGCAGATGCGTAAGGGATCTATCCGTTCCGTAAGGAGCACTGTACTGGCATGTCTGTCATGATCGGCTCCTGGAATGAGTTGATCCGGGTCTTCAGTGGATAACAAGCACTGGTTTCACTTATGTGGCACCATGGGCTCCGCCTGGAAATGTGTTTGGGGGCCTGCGTGACGGAGCGGTGTCCGTTTTCAGACAACCTGACCGATGTCGCCGTGCCATGGGAGGAGCCGGCGCCAGCGGCGGCGGCCGGCGAGCCGGCCCCGCTCTTCAGCGAACTCTGCCACCTGATGGATGCCGTCAGCGACGACCAGTTGGTAAGTGCCATCCGCCGCGAGGTGGCCGGAGGTGGTGAACTGCTGTGACGCTGGGGAGAGGAGTGGCAGTTTCGTGCGCGCGGTTGGGCGTATGCTGTTGTGCTTAGGAAGGGTAGAGTGCTGGGGATGGAGGTAGACGCGGTCTTGGTGAGTGTTGCTCAGCTAGGATATCTTGCTTGAACCAGCAAATGTCAGGTTGTTTGGCAAGGCGCTGGGAACGTGCCATCACGAGCGCGCATGCGCGATGGAAGGCACGTGTAACGTCCTGAGTGTCTCGTGGAAGGCATGCATCATATGGTCAGTGGGCAAACTGGGGTGGTACTATTACCAGGAACCACCACTACCAGAAGCAGAAATATACCTCTAATGTTCTACTTCGGCAAGCCCTTGCCTGGCAAGAAGCAAAGGGTCCTCATAGTGTTGAGTAGAGTGGGTCGAATTGAGTTAGAAATTCAACAAGGCCATCCCACGTTTGCCTGTGACTTTTATATTTGGCATGGTCAACGAGTTAAACGAACTTCATAGTAGTAATGCTGCCTGTTGTGTATATGTGCATTTGCATGTTCCCACCAGTTACCGTGCCTGTAAACTGTTCCACAGCGGGAGCTGTATGCGGATGTGGAGGCGTCGCCGCCGGAGGAGCCGACGGCCGCTGCGGCCGAGCCTGCCGCGCCCGCTGAGGTAGGCTGCGCACGCGTCGGCGGCGGCCTAGGCGGCCGCTTGCTGCTGCTCCTGATGAGGCGCACTGTGACGCAGAGGAGGCGTGCCGTGACGCAGGGAGGCGAGCTGTGACGCGGAGCCGCCGTGTGGTGGCGCGGTGGACTTGTGAGCTGAAGGGGACGACGAGGAGGCCGGAGTCTGAGGTGGTAAGTGATGGCAGTAGCGCAGCCCGAGTTAGACCAGGTGGGTTCGGGTCGATTTCACTTCGGTTGGGGATGAAGGGCTGAACAGGGTTAGGATTAGGGCCATCGACTGTCGTGGTCGCGGCCCGCGCGCCACGCTCGGCGCGAGGGCGTGGGCGGCCGCCGTGCCCCGATCTGACCCCTCCCTCCCCGTCTGCAGGAGGTGACCATCTCTCGTTCGACGATTGACCTGGGCGCGCTGCTGGAGGAGACGAACATCGTGTTCTGCGATTCTCCGCCGCCACCGCCGCCGGCGTCCGCCAGTACAACCTTCGCCGTGCCCGGCCGCCAGCGTGCTATCGTCGCCGGCCGCCAGCTTGGCGCCGTCGCCGGCCGCTCCCGCGGCTGCCCGCCTGCGAGCAGGCCTCCGGTTGCCGATCGCCACCGAGGCCCGCCGGCGCCGTTCCACTACGTGCTGGTGGTGCCCGCCCCGGCGCCGACCCCCGGCGCCGTCGTCCAGGACGGCGAGGGACGTGGACGACCCGGCGCCGGCGGGCGCGACGCGGCGCCGGCGCGCGCCGGCGGCCGCCGACGCGACGCCGGCCGAGAAGTACCGCCGCATCCGCGACAACAACAACGAGGCTTCGCGCCGCAGCCGGCAGCAGCGCAAGCGACGTGAGCAGAGCACGCAGGGAAGCGCGTCGCTGAGCTGGAGCAGGAGAATGCCGCGCTGCTGCGGCAGGTCGAGGTGCTGGAGGGGCTGGTGGAGCGGGTGAAGGCACTGGCGCCGCTGCTGACCGCCCGCCCGGCGCAGTGAGTCGCGCCCGCTGATGATGGACGTCCGGGAGGCAGGACTGCGCCGTCGCAGCAGAGTGAACTGGACCAAGGCACTGACGTGGCGTCGTGGACATCGGTGGACGTTTTAGTGAATCCCACGACCGGCCAGGCAGGGAATTGCCGGCCGGCCGTAATTTTTAATGTTTTATGTGTTGTACGGAGCTGAAGCGGTCGTTCAAACTCCTTATGCTGCCATGGTTGAGTTTAGTCGAATCATCGTCACTGTGTCACGTGTTTTGTATTTGCCGTGGCTGTATAGCCGGCGGAAGTAGGTGGTAGAATTGAGTGCGCGCGTCATGGCTGGCGTCGGGCGTCCTCGCTCGAAACGTATACCATGTTTCGCTGACGTGAGTTGTTTCTCCTCTGCGAGAAAGTGAGATGTACTTAGTTGATCGAGGCATGGTATTAGTCGCATTCCATGAACGAGACTCATCCCAGGTTTTCTTTGAACTTGCGGAACGAGTTTAGCGCAATATATGGGTCACACCTGCCCATGTCTTGTTTTATTGTTGTTACGAAACTGCTCTGGTGCAGTGTGCTGACTGGGTCTGAATGATCCTGATAGAGGCCAAAAGTAGAACAAGGCTTCGAAGTTTTTTGGTAAGATTACCATGCAGCGCTAGGCGCGGTACGTGGAATCCGAGGTTGAACAGTGTTAGATTCCGCTGCAGTGGGTCACCGTGTTCCGATACCGTTTTGAATCCGCTCGGCCCAGGTTCATCGGACGGTTGGTGTTGGGCGGTCGCCAAATGCGCGATTGTAGGGCTTATGAATGCGGTGGCGACCGAACATTGCTGCTTTGGTGCTTTGGTGGGAAGGGGAGGGGAGGGTTAAGTTCTATTTAATGCCGTGTTGTAATGAAGCGATCTTCCGCAGTGAGGAGAGCGGACTTGCTGTTCCGGTGCGCGCGCTGCGCGCAGCAGGCTTGATATAGGTATTTTGTGTAAGCATCCCCGCTTTAGCTATGGTCGGATGCGGTGGAAACCCTGCAAAATGGGGGACGGGAAGCCATTGATAGCTGTGGCTGTTGTTGCAGTCAACGTTCATAGATCGGATATAAAATTCTCAATGATAATGAAGGGTTGGGGATCATGCTCCACAGTCACCTACCCTCTGGACCCCGGACGGAATTTGTGTAACGAATATGGATGCAAAGTGCCTAAACTGCAATGCTATGGATTTGAATTCTTAATTCCTGAAATTACATCTTTTTCCCTCATCCACCGTATGGTTTTCACGATCGTACGGAACTGTTTCTATCCCATTTCTTTAGTGATTCCATGAACGGCCCGCATGAAGCCAATAATTAGAATTTAGCTGCAAGCAGCCTAGACCTCTGCGCAGAAGTGACAAAACACGGCGCAGCTTTAACAGCGAAGCTGTTTTTCAGTATTCTGTTGGAGTCCGTGCGGGTGGTTGTGTATGGGCACATCGTTGCGATTTACGTGTGGGTAGGTGATTCAATCGCGCATGTGGTGTGCTTAGTGCCTGGAGCCTTGACTTGAGTTGATTTGTTGTTGACTGAGTTGAGTTGAGTTAAGAGAGTTGACTGAGTTGAGAGACATGGGACTTGAGCCTTGAGTCATGAAATTCTGCTTTTTTGTGGTTATTGTACTTCGGAGCAGGAAGCTAATGGGGTGCGCTCAATTTCAACATAGTTCTGTTAATGAAGGTGGATAAATTTGCTTCCCAGCTTTTGAAAAGGTGATATCCAGGCATATCCTCATATTTTAGTTCTAGTGTAAGTTATTTATTAACAATCTATGGAGCACCCAGATTTGCGTCTGAATTATTGTGTAGTTGATGCCATGCAATTCTTCTGAACTTCCTCCACTTATCTCGGTGATAAACAAATGCAACCCTTTGTGGACATGCTCCTCTTATTTCAATATGTAAATAAAGTATTGCACACCATCTGATGTGCTGGTTCTAGGGAGACAAATGCAAAACAGAAGGCTCATATTTCAGCCAATACTTAAATGTGTGGATCATTGTCAACAGTCATATCACCCTCATTTACCCAACCAGTGAGCAGATAATTATATCACATCACACTTGGTAGCACGAGAAATTACTCTAAAAAATTATACCATAATTTAAAGGCATGCATGCCCCAAACCGAAGTGCCCCAAGATTAATGCGTGGGGTAACCAATTCATTGCATTAACAGCCAATCCTTCACTGAGTTATGATGTTGTGGTGGTAGTATAATGATGCATCCTCAGAATGTTGCAAATTTTTTGTAGCCAAATGACATGTAAACCAAGCATGACATGACCTGAACTAACACTATATTGCCTGAACTGAGTTTCTGCCTTCTCATTTGCTGGTTCCAGCTTATAATTGCCAGATAGGTGTCAAGCAAAGAAGGCGCATTTATTTTTACAAGGCTTTAACATTAGAGCTCATGGTAGCATGCAAGTGTGGGGGGTGTGATTGAACAGCTGACTGACATTTTACATCATTGAAAATGCTGTGTTTTTGAAGTTGTTCTGCTGATATGAATGCTTTGGCTTTGTCATTTTATAGGCTTGTCTTGGTCACAAGAGACTACATATGTGTCTAAATGATTCTATCATTTAGGTAAACTGCAGGATGTTTTCTCAAATAGTCAAAATTCTACCCAAATTATTAACTTTTGGTGCACAGTAATAAAAACTGCTATGTGGTCCATGTTTCTGGATTACGTAAAGCATGGATAACAGTATGCCTCATCTCCAATAAGCAATATGCACCTGCTTTTCAGCTGTCAAATTCTTCAGAGGATATGATGGCGGTCCAAACTTTACTGAAATGCCCCAGTTCAACAACATTACTGCCCCTGAGGTTGTTGCATTAGGAAGTCTGTGCACCTATTTGCATGTCAGTTGGGATGGGATTGATATCACTGCACATCCATATACTGACCTTTTACTCTGATGCAAAACACTGGGCTGGCAACTGGAATAAATTGTTACCTGTAATATAATTTGAGCTTGTTGGTTTATTCTGAGTTCATTCAATAAGGCACCATGTGTCATTTAGACTTTCAGTGTAAGCCATCAAACATCTGGTGTGGTTCCCCACTGCATGATGTGGATCTTCCATGCTGTATTTTTGTAATTTATGTAAGTATTGTTAACCTGTAAAGCATTGGGCATTGCCAATGCCTTTGGATAGCTCAGGATACCATGCAGTGCCTACTAAATTCACTTGGGGCTTGTCAGGATTATGTTTTACCAAAATTCCGTGAGAACTATTTTCTTCAGACAATCTTTTTAAGACTGATCATGTTGAAATGCTAACAGCCATGATGAGAGTAGAAGTTTGGGAAAGATGGGAATATTCCAACACTTTTTGCATTCACCACTTTGTCTGTTTCATGACTGTGCAACACATCTCTAACTCAAGAACAATGTGCAAACTGCTTAAGGCTGAAGTATTCATTGGGCTTTATCTCCCTAGAGTTGGGTTTGATGCAAGGTGTTGTATTTATCAATATGCAGGGTATTGTTTTATATTTCATCATAAGGTGCCAGCTGTTCATCATCTTTTGGTGCATGCACAAGTCATTCTGATCAAGACTTTTACCACTTTTCAGTCACTGAATGAAGACACGAACTCATAATAATTAAATGTCCTCTGGCTGTTTTGGTTTTTAATGCCTCTGAACTGGCTATAAATCTCTTCTGATCCCTGAAGTCAACATTCAGCTCAACAAACCACTGTTGGTGAGTAGACAGTCTGCGCATGTGATTGAGTGCCAGATTGTAAGTGACTGTTATGTACCTGAATGATACCCCATTTTTATGTGAGCTTTGAGGTCAATATTAGTCCTGCAGTATGCATGATATATTTGACCCCAAGAAGAGCCCAAACTGACATCTGGGCACCCACCAATGCTTGTGACTGCCCATTCCCATTCGCTTGGTGATGTAATAACACAGGTGTGATGCATTTAAGCAATGACAAATGATGGGAGGAAGGGGCTTGTTTTTGCGTGCTATGCTTTTTCGTTCAGTGCCAGTTAGAAAGGTCTACATCCCTCAGTACAGATAGTGATGGGTCCCGAAGAAGGCGTACATTGCTGAAGGCTCTTTGAGACCGCGCAACATGTGGTGTCATCATTAGTGTCAAACACGCCACCTCAGCGCCCCCTGGGTGACATTGCCCGGAATATCAATTGCAGTTATAACAAGATGCAGAAATGCAGATATCGATATCAATCGATGCCAATATAGCAGATGTTGCATGCATTGTGGCGGGTTGACGAAATACCGCTGGCGGCATCGGGGCTCAGCATCGTTCCAAGCCATGTCTTGCCACTCCACGCCATTTAAATGCCACTTCATGGTCAGCTGCATGTGCGGAGTGCCTCTTGGAGGCCACGAGGTTGTGTGAACACAAACGGCCTCATCTTCATGGGTGCTCTTCTTTCGCTAACGGGTCAAGATGTGGTGCTCCGTCTTTGTTTTTCGATGGCAAGATTTGAGGATTTAAGGTTTATAAGACAAGGTGTAAAGACACGACAAGGGTTGGTCATCCGCATGAAAGAAAACTCGCAGGATAGCAGAAATAATCGAAATGGAGTTGGCCTCTGCAAACTAAGTACTACAGAGGTTCAGACAAAAGGATGCCAAAAGTTTGGATGCTTTTGTGTTGCTGCCGGATGTCGTGTACTACACTAACCGCCGACTGCACTACTGCCGTTGCTGCTGCTAGGCATCTTGCATGAAGTGAGACGTCCGCACTCGTTTGTGTGTGGGGGGAGGGGGCAGGATTTTGAGCCCCTCGAGGTGCGTTGCTAGGAGTTTCTGAGGGCGGGAGGAGAGGAGCTCGATGAGAACGCATAAACGCAGTTTTTATAACTTGCTGTCGGAAGCCATTTACGATGAAAACAGAAAAATGCGGGTTTGGTGAAGGAGGAGGGGGGGGGGGGGGGGGGAGAGGGGCCTAGCCTTCCAACTCTGCTTAGCTGTAGCGCTGTTGAAAATCGTACAG